CTGCCGGTTCACTGTTGGTACAGCAAGAGAGAGGGGCGAGGGCGAGGAGGGAAGAGAAAGGAGGGAAGAGGGAGGGGGAAGGAGAAAGGAAGGATGAGGAAGGAGGGGGAGGGGAGAGAAACAGGTTGACTGGCGCAGGCAAGGGGGACTGGGGTGTAGGTTGATAGGGACAAGGGGGTGTGAGACAGATGCGGGGAAGCAGAGGGGATGAGGAGACTGGGGTGGGGAGGGCGCATGCGCTTTGATCTGAGCGCGCACCTATTTCCTGAGCGCGCTCCACGTGGTGGGTGTAATCGCCGCCCTGGTTGAAGAGAGAGAAGCGGCGCGAGCTGGTGATGTTGATGGGCACCAGCAGGTACACCGTGGGGGGGTCGTCTCCTCCTGCACGCGCCGACATAGATAAACGGGATGGGATGGGCAGGGAAAACAACAAGACTCGTCAGTGTAATCACTCGAGTTGGCTACGACCCATTTTCCTTAGCACAAAGAATCCCCTCCTTTCCCGCCCCCCCACTTGTGCAAAGAAAATGAGAACCAGCTCACGCTCTCTGCCGAAGTCAACATCAGTGGCGAGCACGATGGCGAGGCGGGACCCCTTGCCGCCCTCGAATGCGTCCACGAGCAGGTCCTTGGCGCCCTCCGCATCCACCAGCCGCAGCCGCGCCGGTGCCATCACCGGTATCCACCCGTACCCGCCCTCCACGCCACCCGGCTTCTCTGTATAGCGTGGGGGGGTGGGGGATGAGGGGTGACGGACGAGAAAGGAGGGTTCGCGTGAGAAGGGGAGAAGGAGGGAGGGAGGAGGACATTCTTTTCCCCACACACGTTCTCATCCTTTCGCCCCTCCACCACCCCCTCTTCCCCCCACGTTCCTCCCGTCCCCCCCGCTCTCCCCTTTTTAAATCCCTCCCAGCCCTCCCGCTCCCCCTGGCAGGGCACTGACCGCGCATGAAGAGGACGGTGATGCCGCCGCCAGTGAGGCCGAGCACGAGGAAGAGCGAGAGCATGACGGTCTGCAGCAGCGTCACCTTCTTCTCCAGCGACTGCACCTTGCCGTCCGTCAACACCTCGTTCAGCCGCCTCTGCGCCCTCACCTGCGCCGGCCTGGGGTTGGTTGTGGGGGGAGGGAAGGGGGGGTGCAGGAGAGGAGAGGATTGGAGCGACGTATGGGTTGACACGGCGAGAGCGTGAGAGATAAGGGTGAGAGAGAAGGTGAGGGGGTGAGCGAAGAAACGGGAAAGGCAACGGGTGAGTATGTGAGAGTAGAGGTAGGGCTTGAGCCTTGAAGAAGGGTTGAAAGTGGGGAGGGAGGCACGGGGAGCGGCTGAAAAGTGGACAGGGCGGAGTGAGTGAGTGAGTGAGTATCAAAGCAAGCAGCAATCTCCCTCATTCATACCCAGTGGCACCAAGTGACCGACCAGTGTCTACCCAGCGCCTTCCCCCCACCCCTGCAACCCCCAGCGCCCCTCTGTTCCCCCCCCGGAACCAAGCGCAATCCTCAATACCTCCTACAGTCCCCAATCGCCCTCAGCGTCCCCCATTGCCCCCCAGTTCATCCCAATCCCCCCCAGTCGCCCCCAGCAACACACCTGCACTCGTGCACCTCGGCAACGAGCGTCTTCCTCTCGGCCGTCCATGCGACGCGCTCCTCCCCGGCGTGCACGGCGGCCTGCTCCAGCGCCACCACGCGGCTCACGTTCGCCACGCGCCCCGTCGCCTCGCACGCCTCCAGCTCCTCCTGCAGGCCCCGCTTCGCCTGCTCGCACGCCGACCGCTCCGCTGCCACGTCCTTCTGACAGCTGCCCGCGCCTTTCTTCTTCAGCTGCGCGGGGGGGAAGGAGGGGGAGAGGGGAACGGATGGGCGGCGCGGGAGGGGAGGAGGAGGGGGGGATTGGGGCATTAGCAGGGGGGAAGGAATCGGACAACCAGCCGCTCCGCTGCCACGTCCTTCTGGCTGCTGCCCGCACCCTTCTTCTTTAGCTGTGGAGGGGAAGTGGGGGAGAGGAGAGAGGATGGGGGAACGGGTGGGCAGTGCGGAAGGGGTTTAGGAAGCGGACTGGAGCATTAGCAGGAGGAACGGAACCGAGCAGCCTTCCCACTCCGCCTCCACGATCACTTCCCAAAGGCACACGCTATCTCTCTCTCACCCGTACTCTCATCCAACTCCTACCCTACCCATTTCCCCCTTTCAGGCCCGCCTTTCCCCCCTCGTCACCCCCCGCTTCCCCCTCCTTCTCGTACCCGGATCTCGCAGTGCTCGAGCTCGGCGCGGATGGCGTTGGCGTCCGTGTCGCACTCCGCGCGGATGCCCACGCGCTCGCGGTCGAACGCGCTCGCCACCACCTGCCGCTCGCGCTCGCACTCCATCTCCAGCTCCTGGGGGCGCGGGGAAGGCGGAACGGAAAGGGGGAGGAGAGGAGGGGCGGAGGGGCGGAAGGGAGAAGCGGGGGAAGGGGGTAAACAGGCGTCTCAAACGACTCTAAGGAGATTTGTAAGGTGTCTCAACAATCCTCGCGGTCGCCCCCCATCTCAGGTGCTGGACGAGGCGGGAAAACGGGCGGGGGAGAGGAAGAGGGGGAGGGAGAGACGGGGGGAAGCACGCGCAAGGACAGCGCACGGAGGAGGACGAGCGGGAAAATGGAGGGGAGGGGAAGGGGGGCGGGGGATGTGTGGGACGGGAGGGTGGGAGTTGAATGGAGCCGAGGCATGGACATGGCCCGCTCCTTCCGCGCACTCACTCGTTCGCGGATGCTGCGCTCCTGGTTGCAGCGCAGCCACTCCGCGTAGCGCTGGTCGCGCTCGCTGCGCAGGCGGTCGAACTGCCCCGCGCGCGTCGACGCGTCCTTCACCGCATCCACGTACGTCTCCCCGCACCAGCTGCGCGCGCACGCGCGGGGATCGCGGGGAGGGGGACCGCGGGGGATCGCGGGGGAAAAAGAGAGGAGAGGGGACGGAGTAGTGGGGATTGAGGGGCGGTGAGGTGGGAATGAGGTTTGTTGTTGTGGCAGGGACACGAGGACGGAAATGGCGCTGGGACGGTGGCAATGGCGTGCCACGAAACACAACGGAAACGCGACAGGACGAACGACCACCGCTCGCACTTCCTATCCTTCCTTTCTTCCCTCCACTGTTTGTTCCCTCCGCTCCTCCCATTCCCTCTCGTTCCCTCCCCACATCCCTCCTCCCCTCCTCTCCCCCTCCCCGCGCGCGGCGGCGGGGCAGGGCGCGCACCTGGAGAGGATGGAGTGGATGAGGTTCTCCGCGTTGGGGTCGTTCGCCGTGGGCCACACCCACCGCGCCGCATCTGCGCACACACCGCGCCACGCGCACGGGCGTGGGCGCGGGCGTGGGCGCGGGAAGGGACGGGACGGGACGACGAGAGGCACAAGGTTCTTAAGAAGTAGCAATCATGCAACCTCGAGCAGTTAAACGCGATCGCTGCTGCGATGACCTCTAGTACACTAGGAAGAGGCATGGGCGAGCGGGTGGGCGGGCGGGCGAGTGGGTGGATGGGTGGGTGAGGTAACCCCTAGGTTGGGCGGGTACGGGCACGCGGAGCAGCTGACCTAGGGAGTACGAGCCCTCCGACGCCGTGGAAGTCTCGTTGAACGACGGCGCGAAACTAGTGCTCGTCGCCGTGCCGCTGCTCCCGCTGCTACCCGTCCCGCTGGTCCCGCTGCTATCCGTCCCGCCGGTCCCGCTGCTGCTGTCACCGCCGCTTGATGTGCTCGCTGCAGGGGCCGAATCGGTCGCTGCATCAGCGGCAGGTGCGGCGGCAGCTGCGGCGTCAGGTGCGGCGGCGGCATCAGCAGGCGCGGCGGCGGTGCTTTCCGCCATGACCGGCCATGTCTCAACCGCCGCAGCGATAATGAAGGCGATTAAGACAAGCAGTAACGCGCGGCGTACGGACGCCGCCATTTGAGGCGCGGCGCAGTCCGGTGCAATGCGGAGCCTGCCTTTACTAACGAGGTGCAGATGCTGAATCGGCGAACGCGCTCGACCGGTTCCGCCAAGGATGATGCGAATGTCGCAACGAGATTGACGCAGAGGTGTCGCTAGGGTTCTCAGAAGCTCGCGTTACCTCGTTTTAGTAGTAGTTAAAAGAAAAAACAGAAAAAGGTGCCTATTTTATCCTAATGCAAGACCATTCCTGATCAGCGAATCGTGAGAAAAAGCAATAACTTCTGCAGCTGTTCGGAAATGCCGGAACGCACGGAACGACGGCTGACGTCGAGGCGCGAAGCGCATGAGAGTGAGGGAAGAACGAGTCGAGACCTCGCGCAGGTGACAACCCTAAAAGCTGATGCACTTGAGCAGCTTGGATAACAAGTGCCGTACTAGAGCTAGAAGAGAGAGGCTGCAGCAGGTTGCTGGTACTGAAGTGGTTTTCGTGGTGGTTGGGTGGAAAGAAAGCGCCAGACATCCACGAGTTTTAGCGATTTCAACTGTCGCAACAGGCGATTCGCAAGCAGAGAGTTTTGCTGGTTCTTTTATTGTTACCACGTATCTCGTGTAAACTTAGTTGCTATGATTCTTGTCTACACCCAAACAAACACGTAAATCATTTCTAGGCCACTCTCATAACAAAACAGCGGGGTTCAACCAAGAAGCACCTAGCAGCTCCTCACCCTCTTGCGTTGCGGTCTCGCTCTCTCGCCGTCTCGCTATCTCACTGCCTCGCTGCCTAGCCGATGTGCTCGGAGAGGCCATTCGACGTCGCCATCACGATTTCGGCACGTCTCTCTTGCGTTTCCTCCTGCTTTCAGCTCGATCGTTTTCAATTGAACAATGGGCTGCTTAGTATCCCGCGATGGGTTCTAGTGATAGAACGATAGATCTCTGGCATCGAAGCGCGTGCGATCCATGCGACAGAACCCTTCGGTAGGCCCATCGTAAGCGATCGTCGCACTGCGATAAGCTGGACAGCGTCGTCGCCTCGAGACGTCGCGGCGGTCGCCGGCGTGCAGTGCGGCGGAGTGCGGTGCTGCGCGGTGCCGGCCATGGACGTGGTGTTCTTCGACTCCTTCCACCACCGGCCGTCGCCTGACAACGTGGAAGAGGTGGGCTCGGCGCGCTTCACGCCGCGGCATAGGCTTTAGCGATGGGACAAGTACCGAGTCTTGAAACGAGCAATTTCAGCGATTAGCGTTTCAGCCAGTTTCAGGCAGCGATTAGCGACGACCACGCGGAGACGGCTCGCCGTTTAGGGAAGAACCAGTTGGTGCCGCTGATGCTGGTTTATGTTTCTGACGCACGGCTCCCTGGCGGCAGTTTCGCTTTATCCCCGTTGTTAGGTCGCGCGTTCTACGGCCACGCCGTGTTCCGCAACTTTTTCAGCGAACCGCTTGAGTCTTCCGTATCCGTCGCCTCCCGTGCCTTGCTCTTCGTCTCTCTCCCTCTATTCCCTCTCTCATCCTCCTTTCCTCTCACCCCCCCAACCGCACCCGTGGCCAATCCCCGCATCTCCTCCCTCCCTCCTCCCCTCCCCCTCTCCGCGTCTCTTGCGCTTCCCCATTCCGCAGGTGCGGTTCCGCGCGCCGCTGCTGCTCAAGGCCTTCCACCTGCCCGCGCCTGATGCTCCCGCGCCCACCCCGCTACTCCGCCGCTTCAGAGGGTACGGCGCGCTCCTAGTGCCACCCGTTTGTAGTTGCACATGCAGTTACATGGCAATGCGGCGTTTTGTGTGTGTGTGTGCTGCAGAGAGGGGGTGTTTTTGCGTTATACTGCATAAACGCGCCCGTTTTGTGTGCTCATTACGATGGCAGGTCCATTTCGCTGCTTTCACCCTCTCATCTCTGTCTTCGTCCCTCCTCACTCCCTCCTTTTCCTCCTCCCCTCAATTCTTCCCTCCTTCCCCCCAACCCCTCTCAGAGTGACCCAATCAGAGCCATTCAATCTCGCCATCTACGCGCACATTCTCCCCTCCGCCCCCGCCACCGCACCAGATGCAGCCCCCGCCCACGCGTCTCTGTCTGCTGGTTCACACGCTGCTGCTCATACCAATGCCCCACCAACCCCACTGGCAGCAGCAGCAGAAGCACCAGCGGCACCAGCAGCAGCAGCGGCAAGGGGTGCAGATGGGAGGAGAGTGGGGGCTAGGGCGTTGGAAGATGGTGGTACGGGTGGCGTGGGGATGTGTGGGCCAAGTGCGGGGGGCGAGTTCAGGGTGATATATCACACACAGGGGTCCACGGAGAATCTCACCACGGCCATCAAGCACATCCAGGCAAGCACCTCCCTGCACCTCCCTACCTACACACCATACCCTCCCGATGCTTCACCCATGCCTTGTCCAATGTATCCTGTCCATTTCGCCTCTTCCTTCTCTCCTCCTCTGCCTGCACCCCCCCCACCCTTTTTTCCGTCTCTCCCATCCTTTCGTCTATTCGTTTCTTCTGCTTCTCTTCCTCTGCTGCTCGTCTTGCTCTCGCACTTTCCGCATGTCTCACCCCCCTCCCTCTCCCCACCTTCCCCCCACACCTGCTCCCCATTCTGTGTCCCCCTTCGCTACCCCTTCCCACTCTCCCCCTCTCCCCTTGTTTCCCGTTTCTCGCCTCACTCGTTTCTCCCCTTCCCCTCCCCCCTCGGCCCTTCCCCCCACACCCCTGCCCTCCGCACCTCCCATTATGCCCCCTCGACCGCCCCACAGCCGCTACTAACAGACCACATAGTGCTGCGGGGCTCCTACTGCGCGCTCTCCCTCGTCCTCTTCGGCACCCCCCTCTCCCCGCCCTCGCGCTCTCTGCGTCCCCGCGCCTTGCGCTCATCACACGGAAAGCAGGCGGGGGGAACGGGCCAGGGGGGTCGAGGCTCGGCGCGTGTTAGAGTGGCGGGCGCGGAGAGGGGAGAGGGGGGAGGGGCGGTGGTGGGTGGGGGAGCGGGAGAGGGGGCCTGGGATGATGCGATGGTGGTAGATGCTGTGCAACCCAGTGGCGGAAAGGTTTTGAAGAAGAGAAAGTGGGGGAGAGAGAGGCGCGAAGAGGGGCGGGCAGGGGACGAGGAGCGTGGTGAGACAGACGGGGAAGGCGGGGAGGAGGCAACAGGAGGGGATGAAGGAGGGGGAGGAGGGGAGAAGGCGCGGGTGGAAGGCAAAAAGGGGAAAGGGAGAGGGGGGCGCAAGGAAGAGGAAGAGAAGGATGGAGGAGAGGAAGAGGAGGAAGATGCTCTAGTGGTGGTGGGGAGGCGGGCGGCAGCAGTGGAGGAGGCAGTGGAGGGCAGGAAGCGAGCAGTGGCAGTGCTGCGGGCATCAGTGCGGCTCTGGCACGGACTATCCTCCGCTATCAGCCATGCTGCTGCCGATGCCCTGCTCCCCCTGCTCTCCTCTGCTGCTGCTCATCTCGCAGGGCTTAGCCTCCTGCCAGTGGATTTAGGCGAGAGTGACGAGGGTTGGGGAACGGTTGGGAGAGACAGGAGACGTGGGGGGAGGGTAGGGAAGGAGGGTGGGGGAGGGGGGGTGCGGAAGGGAGGGTATGGGGATGGGGAGGAGGGGGGCGGCGGGGCGGAGGAGGAGAGGGAGGAGTGGGCGTTGGTGGTACAGGAGGTTGACATGGCGCTTGCGTGGCTGCACCATGTTGTCTGTGCCTCCACCATCCTCCCATCCGTACGCACCTCCCTACTCCCTGCTCCCTGCTCCCTGCTCCTGTCTTCTGCTTCCCTATCTCGTCCTTATTCTCTTTTTCCTCTCTAATCACACTCATTCCTTACCCTCCAATCCTCTCCCTCTGCTTCAACCAATCCCCACTGCCTTTTTTCCCGCCCTCTCTGTGTATGCGTGCTTCCCACATCATGCGGGCAGGTGGAGGAGACACAGGCAGCGTTCACGCTCGTGCATCTCGTTGCCTTCTCCCCCCGCCACTGCCTGCTCTTCTGCCGTCGCAACGGCTTGCAAGGGCTGCTCTCAGCCCTCCAACAACCACGCTCACCCTCACCTTCCTCCTCCTCAAGGCCCTCCCCCTCCTCCGCCCCTGCATCTTCCTCCTTCCTGTCCTCCTCAGCAGCGTCGTCCCTCCCCTGCCTGGCTCTCTCCGCGCTGCTCTGCTGCTGCCGCCACCCATTTGCATGTGCGCTGCTGCTTCAGCCAGACCCGAGGGTTCCGGGGAAGGGCGCGATAGTAAAAGGCAGCAGTGCAGGGCGGAAAGGGAAAGGTGTGACTGGGCCCAAGAAGGAAGGGGATGAAGGAGGGGAAAAGCGGGACGGAGGAGCAGAGAAGAAGGGGGAGGGTGTGATGGAGGTGGAAGGAGAGGGGATGGAGGAGGAGGAGGCGGTTGAGGAGGAGCAAGTGAGCAGAGGGAAGGAAGGCAAGCAGGGTGGGGAGGGGAAAACAGAGGCAGGGAAGAGTGCTGGGGGCAAGGAGAAGGGTGCAGGGAGCAGTGGGTACGAGCAGGTGTTGGCGTTTGTGGTGCATTCCAGTCGCTGCCGCACACCGCTGCAAGTGGGAGTGCTTGCCACCCAACTGCTGCTCGTGCTGCACCGCCATCACCTCTGCCTGCGCCTACAGGTGACTCGCGCTGCTGCTCCAGCTGTTGCTCCTGTTGCTGCTCTCGCCTCTCCTCCTGCTGTCTTCTCCTCTCCAGTCCCTGCTGTCCCCTCTTCCCCCCCGGCTCTGCCCCACCGCACCTTACCCCACCTCCCTTCAATCCCTCCTCTCTTTCCCCTTTTTTCCCCCGCTCTCGCTCTCTTCCCCACCATCCATCCTGTGCTGTGTTGCGATACCCTTCTCATTCGCACGATCGGCAGCACGACAATTTGCTTATTTCCTCCGCTCCCTCCTCTCCCTCTTCGTCCACACCGCAGCGCTCGGTGACTCAGCTGCTTCACCCGCACTCCTCTTCCTCCACCCGGGTGCCCTCTTCCACCACCCCCCAACTCCTACTGAAGAGCGCTGCCGTGGGGGCTGGGGAAGACAAAGGGGTGGATGGGGAGCGAGGAGCGGGGGAAGGCGGGGAAGGGGTAGTGGAACAGGTAGAAGGCGTGAAGGGGGAGGAGAGGAGGAGTGCAGATGAAGGGCTGGCGGCTGTGGTTCAGCTGTTGCAGGAGACTCAGGTGGGTGGGGAGTGGAGTGGGGGTGAGAGTGGTCTGAAGGGGAGGGGATACGTGCAGTGCAGGAGAGGAGAATCATGAGGGCTTGTGAGAAGGACAGATGGGGGGTGTCAGGTTTGGTGTTCAGTTTTAGAGGCAAAGGAGAGAACTGGGCTGTGCTGCTGTGCTGCTGTGCTGGGAGGATTTGCCGTGGCTGGTGTTTCTTTCTTTCCGCTGCTAGTAGTACTTGCCCTCCCACTTCGCGTTTTTGCCACCATGTCGTGTCCAGCAGTTTTGAGGCGCCTCACTCGTCCAACACTCTTCCTGTCCATGTCATTGCACTGGCCCCTCCATCTCCCTCACTCCCTATCCCCATAGCCCTCCCTTTCTTCGCCTCCCCCTCTCCTCCACCACACCACCTTCACACCCCTCCCCAATTTCCCCCTGCACGCCCACCAGTCGCTTCTCATTCGACCGCCAGCAGCAGTGGCAACGGCAACATCTGGAGCGGGCAGCACGAGCAGCACCAACCTGCTCATCGCCTCCTCCCTTGCACGCCTCGCCTCCTCCTCCCCCTCCTCCGCACTCGCCACTGCGCACCGAGCCATCAAGCCCACGACTCTCCTGCCGCTGCTGCTCTCGCGCCCCACCACCCTCTCCTGCCCGCTCGCGTCCCCCCTCTGCCCACCCCTGCCGCCCGCGAACGCGCCGCCGCTGTTTGTGTCGCCGCTGCTGGCGCAGCTGCTGGGGGGGCTGGACGCGGATGCCCTGGCCGTGCTCAAGGTGAGAGAGAGGCTCGCTGCATGCATGCTGCACTGCACAGGGCATAGAGCAGAGTGCAGAGCAGAACGCACGCACATTGCGCAACTTCTTCTGCATGTGCGCACTGTAGCGTCTGCACCCTCTAATGTGCTGCTGCGTACACCTCGCACCTTCACCTTGCCTGCATCACCCTGCTGTATTCGCCTCATCTCTTCGCCTCACCCTCTGCTACCCTCCACGTGTCTTTCTCTCATCTGACTCCTCCACCCCTGCACTCCTCCCCCCCACTTCCTGCCACCCTTCTCCTGTGCGCACATCAGGGCTATCACTTCTTGGACCTCCTCGCAGCAGCCATCACGGCTGCATCCACCTCGCCATCCTCCTCCCCCTCCTGCCCCCCTCAAGTGGCCCGTCCCCCGCTGCTGCTCTCTGTGCACGTGCCCCCATGGCCTGCCCCTGTGCTGCTGGCACCACTGCACGCCATCCTGCTGCCGCTGCTGCACTGCCGGGAAGGTCCGTCTGTCCGTCTTCTTTTCCCATCCCATGCCTAACGTCTCTGCATGGCAGTTTGTGTGTGTGTGTGTGTGTGTGTGTGTGTGTGTGTGTGTGTGTGTGTGTGTGTGTGTGTGTGTGTGTGTGTGTGTGTGTGTGTGTGTGTGTGTGTGTGTTTGATCCCATGTCCGTGTGTTGGACTTCTTCCTGTGCATGGTGCTCTATCTGTACGTGTACCTGTGCTGTGCAGTAATCGTGTATCCGTGTGTGTTGTTGTGTCCCATGTCGTCCTCATGCTCGCAACACCCTGATCTCGCCCCATCAAGTCACATTTCTGGTGCCTTTTTACTCAAGTAACAAAACCACCCCATCACCGCGTCTCATCCCCTGCAGGCCTACTCTTTCTAGCCTCCCAGCCCCACGCCACTGCTCGCCTCGCCTCCGCTCTCCACCACGCTCCCACTGCTGCTGCACACTCACCTGCCGCGTTCCACCACGCACGCCGACGTCGCCAGGCGAAGAGAGTGCAGGGAGGGAAGGGTCAGGGAGTCTGGCGACTGGCAGGAGGCCGACTGCTGCCATGCCGCCACCTGCTCGCTCTTGATTCGCTCGGCATTGCCACGTCACCATCTGACGTGGCGGCTGCGATGACCGAAGTGTTGAAAGCGGTAAGTGGGCAGGTTGCGAAGCAGTGTTGGTGGGAGCGAGCAAGTGGTGCCACTACTGCGGCACAGCCTGGAAAGTAGATATCTCCAGTAGAAAGTGAGAAAGGAAGCGTTGGAGCAGCTGTTTATCAATAGTGTGGCTTCATGTAATTTCTCAGAGATATTTCTATCATAAGCTACTCGTTCCTCATTTGACCTCCACCACCATGCCTTCGCCACAGGGTCACACCCTCTTGGCTTGGCATCAGCCTCAAAACGCCTCTCCTTCCTCTCCTCTGCATCCTCCCTCCTCATTCCACTTCACTTCGTCCCTCTTTTCTCATGCCCTTGCCTCCCTCTCGTCATCACCCTCCCTTTTCCCACTCCCCATCCTCCACTCTTCAATCCCCCCCCCCCCCCCAACCAACCCACCACGTGCACACGGCACCCACTGGCCACTTCGCCACAGGCAACCCTAGTGGAGCAGGCAGCAGCAGCAGCAGTGGCAGCGGGGGCAGCAGTGGGGGTGGCGTTGACAGCCTCTGCTCTCTCCCTGGGCGTGTTTGGCCCAGCCACGCGTGTGCCTCTGCGCTCCGCAGCGCAGGTGCAGGCACTGCTGGCGCCGCTCCTCTCCCTCGCCACCATGCACAGGCATGAGGCGTCACGCCAGGCACTGGCTGCTGTCGCTACACTGCCCGAGGTGCGTTGCGCTGCTGTTCGCGTTGACTTTTGCCTGCCTCGCTCCTTCTCCTGCATGTGTGCAAACGGGCCTGAAACGCACTGCCAGAAATATCTCCCTGAATCCCTCTTATCTCTTTTTGCAGTCTACCTTCCCCTTTCTCTCATCCACTCACCTTTCTATGCCTTGCTTCGACCCAATCACCCCCCCCGTTTTTCGCTTTCCCTCACCCCTTTCCCTTCCCTCCCCCCATCGTGTGCTGCACCTGTCATCAGTTGCTGCAAGTGCTACACCTGGCCATCTTTGCCATAGAGCATCCGCTGCAGTCACGAGGCCTGCACCTCGCACCCTCCTAACCCATGCCCTCTCCCCACTCTTCCCCCTTGGCTCGCTGCACCTGTCATCAGCTGCTGCAAGTGCTACACCTGGCCATATTTGCCATAGAGCATCCACTGCAGTCACGAGGCCTGCCCTCCGCCACCACCCCTGCCGTGCCCTTCAAAGGTCAGCCACACCACGCTGTATTCAATCCGTGACTGCCTGCACTCACACACTCAACTGCAGGTTGAATCATGTCGAACGCACTCTTTCACAAACTCCTCTCCTCTCTCGTGTTTACTCTCTTTGCATCATGCCCTTCCCTTTCTAGTCATTTCACTCACCTTTCTCCTGACCTTTCCGTTTCCTCCGCTCCCACACCGCAGCATTTGAGCCGTCTCTCGCAATCCTGTCCAGCCGTGCGTGCCACGTGCTGCTCGTGCTGCTCCGAGACTCCTCCCTCTCCACATGGCAAGCCGTGGCCCACGGCGGGGCAGCCTTACATGCAGCAGCAACTGCAGCCTCCATGCGCCTGCGTGCCGCTGACCTCGTGCTGGGGTTTGAAGAGGCGAGAGACTGGCTGGAGGGGTGCGCTGTGTTTGGCATGAAGGGCCTGCCGGGGCTTATGGCTCTGGCTGGTGAGCTTGCAGAGGGCGATGCTGCTGCTGCTGTCAGCACAATAGCTGCTGCTGTTGCTGCTGCTGGGGATAACGGTGGTGGTGCACGAGGAGGGGGAGGGAGCGGGGGGTCTGGGGGGGGGAGGGGGAGGGGAGGGGGGTGCGGAAGGAGGGGGTGGAGGGGGAGGGGAGGAGGAGGAGAAGGGGAGGGAGGGAATGGCTTCGAGCACTCTGCTGCCGCCGCTGGTGCAGCTGACAGGGGCTGTCAGGTTGCTGGCTCTGCTGTCTCGACACACGGTAGGGAGTGAGCAGAGAGACAGGAGGTAGGGAGAGTGGCAAGTGAATACTGGTGTATGGTGGTTGCTCACTCAGGTGCTGGGTGGGTTGGCCTAGTTTGTAGCATGCTGCAAGAGCAGAGGAGTGGGATTGCCTGGGTCTGGTTCAATCAACCTAATTTTCCATCACTCAAGTTTTTTAAATGAGTTCTTTGAAGCACCCCGTGCTTACTAATCTTCCACTCTCGTGTTGCTTGTTTGTTTCGTTCCGTATCTTTCGAACGGTGTGCATGCGTGTGCGCACGGGGGAATGGAATGCACGGAATGGAATGCACGGAATGGAATGCACGGAATGGAATGCACGGAATGGAATGCACGGAATGGAATGCATGAATGGAATGCACGGAATGGAATGCACAAAATGGAATGCACGGAATGGAATGCACGAATGGAATGCACGAATGGAATGCACGAATGGAATGCACGGGGACATGACATGGGGACATGGGGCAAGCAGGACATGGCAGTGGACATGTTCAACGAGGGGGTCATACACCTGCTGCTCTCCCTCCTCTCCCTTGCCAACTCCGCCTTCTCCATCCCCGGTCAGTGCTCTTTCTTGCGGTATACCTCCATGCCGCACATTGTAAAAGTCAGTTTGTTTGTGAGCCGCACATACTCGTGCCAACCGGTTATCCATCATCCACGCACGCATATCTTCATCTGTATCCCTCCCCCTCCCCCATGTCTACCCTCTCATGCCAATCGTTCGTCAACAGCACCACAGCAAGCAGCAGGGGGGGCATCCTCACACGCAGCATGGTCGCGGGCGCCAGGCCTGCACATGGATCTGCTGCAAGTGCACGCACAGACACGCCGCCTGCTGCTGCCCGCTCTGCTGCTCCTGCGCACCATACTGGCCCGCCTGCAGGTGTGTGTGCTGCAACTGCATGTGCACGTGCGTGTGCATGTTTACGTGCGTGTGCATGTGCGCGTGCATGTGTGCTTGTGCATGCGTGCATCGTATGGGGTTTGAGAAGGATGAGTGATTGCATCAGCTACACCTTCCCAAGGTGATATGTTTGCATTGGTCGCTCGCTAACTGCATTTCTCCCTTCTGCCCCACCCCTCTGTCTCACCCCTCTGCCCCACCCTTCTGCCCCGTCTCTCTGCCCTGCTCCTCTTTCCCGTCCCTCTGTCCCACCTCTCTTCCTCTGCATGCAGGCCACAGTGAGTGAGTTCCGCAGCACCAAGCTATTGCACGCCCTGCTCGACCTCTACCTGCTGCTCAGGTGCTCCCTCTTCTCTCTCACTACCCCCTGCCCTCGTCACGACACATAAGGTTGGGGTTGCGGGTTTAGAATCAGGGTTTGGAGTGGTGCACGGTCCACTCGCGTCGAGGGAGTTCTCTATAGGCACATGTGCCTCTCAACTTTGTAAGCCCCTTGCCACTCATGGGACAACCTTTCGGCTCGCATGTTTCCCCTTCACAGGTTTCCTCCTCACTCCACTCCACACCGTACCTCTCCTCCACCTCCTCCCCTCCTGCACTTATCCCGACCCCCCTCCAATCTTGCCCTGCAGCACTCGACCGCCGTTCCACTTGGCCATCTCCGATTGGTCCTGCCAGTCCGAGGCTATAGAGCTGCAGGCGATACGACAAGCACTCACGTCCTGCCTCGCCTTCTGGCTGGCCTCCCAGTGGCGCCCCGCCCTCCTCCCACTGCTCTTCTCCCGCTCCCTCCACTCCCTCCGCACCCCCTCTCCTTCCGGCGCCGCCTCTGCCGCTTCCGCTAGCGCTGGCCCTGCTGTCTCTGCTGCTGCCGCTACTGCCACTCCTGCTGCTGCTGGAGCTGCGGGGGGGGCAGGTGCTGCTGCCACGCCGGGTGCAGGGGTGCTGGGAGGAGCAACAGCAGCAGCCGCAGTGGCAGCAACAGGGGTTGCAGGGGAGGGCAGGCAGCAGTATGCAGCGGTGGGGCCTGTGTCTCCCCTTGAGCCTGCTCGCCTCCCTGGCCTTTTCTCCCTCCTGGTATGCCTCCTGTCGCTGTTGCTGTTGTGCCCTATTCACATGTTCTCCCTGCTGCCTTCAAACACTATACTGATTCTTCCTTTCTCTTCCCATCGCCCTCCCCACACAGGCCGATCTACTCCAGCAACCCCCACCCTTCCTACACTCGCGCCAACCCCCCTCTCCCTCACCCTCCACCCCACCACCCACCACCACTCCCGCCACCTCCCATCCGCCCTCCGCCCCCTCCGCTCCCTCCGCTCCCTCCCTCCCCACCCTCCACTCCTCCCCATCCCCCTCCTCCTCCGCCCCCTCATGGACCTCCCAAGCGGTGATGGGGTGGCCGCAGAAGCAGCAGATGGTGGGGGTGGCGGCGGTGGGGAGTGTGCTGGGCATGGGTCCGCACATGGAGGAGCTAATGTGGTTCACCGTGGATGCAGGGCTGAGAGGCCGAGTCAAGCGAAGCATGGCCCCGCACATGCCCGCTCTCTGCCGCATCATCTACCATTTCTCCGCAACTGTGAGAGCTAGCTTGCTGCTCCGCTCCGCACATGTGTTGTGTGTGTGCATGCCTGTGTGCTGTGCACGATGCTCCCATCCCATGCATATCATATCCCTCCTTCAACCCAGCTTGCTTGCTCCCATTGCACTACATTTCGCATGTCCTAATCGAACCTCCCTTCGTTCCTCCCGTCCGTTCCCTCTTCCTCCCCCTTTTCCTTTCACGGCAGGCATCATGGGTTGTCCGGACCTCCCTATCCTCCCTCATCCTCGTTCTAGCAGACTCTCTCCCTCTCACCACCACTACCACCACCACTCTCTCATCCCAGCCACCCACCACCACCACCACATTACTCACCACTTCCACCCCTGGTACCTCCTCCGTTGCCTCTTCCTCCTCCTCCTCCTACCCGGCCCCTCCCCCTCCCTCTCAGCCTGCTTCCAGCCAAAGTCTGGCTGGAGATGGCAAGGCAGGGGAGGAACCTGGAGAGAAGGCGATAGCAGCTGTGGTGGAGAGGGCATGCGAGTGTATGGAAGCATGGCTTGAAGTCTTGGATGGGAGAGATGCTGCTAGGGCTGCTGCTACCGCCTCTGCTGCTGCCGCTGCTGCTCCCGCTCCTGCTGCTGCTGCGGCTGCTGGAGGTGCTGCGGGTGAATCTGGTGCTGCTGGTGATGGTGGTGGGGATAAGGGTGCGAAGGGTTCTGGAGAGGTGGAAGGAGGTGGGGCAGGGTTGAAAGACGGGGATGGAGCAGGAGCAGGAAGGGGACGGGAGGGAGGGGAGATGGGAGGAGGGGGCTTGAAATCTAGTGCTATTGCTGCTGCTGGTGCCTCTGCCCCTGGGTCTACCACACACCCAAACGCCCCACTCTCCTCTACTCCCAAAGTAACCTCTGATGCTGCTGCTGCTCCAACCGCTGCAGTTGGTCCAGGGGGCATGGGTGCAGCAGTAGCAGCAGCAGGGGCGAGTGGTGGTACTGGCACCACAGCAATCGGGCTTGTAGGAGCAGCAGAAGCTGCAGTATCGGCAGCAACAGCAGCAGCGGCAACCGCAGTGGTGAGAGGAGCAGGAGCAGCAGCAGGAGGAGAAGGAGCGAAAGCAGGAGCAGCAGCAGGACAGGCAGGAATACCAGCAGCAGCAGCAGTGGGAGAAAAGGCACCAGGGGCCACTGGCGGGGGGATGGCAGTGGGGGGAGGGGTCTCAGCAGCAGGTAGTGGTGTGCCTGGGTTGGCTGACCTTTCCGGGAAGAGCAGGGGTGACAGTGAAAGGCCTGTGGCATCGCCCTTGCTGCTTGCAGACCTGGTCTCCCTGCTGCACCTACTGGCCCAACTCATCGTGCACCCCTCTGTGCAGGTACTTGCACCTCGTCTTGACTTTCTTGCATTCATCCATGCATTCTTACAGCCTTTTGGTTTTGGTGCACACGACTATGCAATGAGTGATCTCCCTGTCTGCCCTTGTATCTTGTTGTCGATCCTGTTTCGCCCGGCCTGTTTTTAACTCCCCAACTCCCACCGCTCCCCATATCCCCTCCTCCCTCCCTCTCCCCACCACACTTCTCCCGTCCCCTCCCCCACATGTCTGCCACCACTCGCACTGCCCTCAGTCCCAGGCATTGCAGCACAAGTCCTTCTCCCGCCTCCTCCTCCACGTCCTCACGCACTCTCGTGTCCGCTCGCTGCCCCACAAGGCTCTGCAGCTAGCCGCACAGAAAAGTGCAGTAGGAGCGGCAGCAGCAGCAGCAGGAGCAGGAGGAACAGGAGCAGGAGGAGCAGGAGGAGCAGGAGGAGGAGGAGGAGGAGGAGGAGGTGGGGCAACAGTAGCAGCGACTGTGGTGCTGGGGGTTAAGCAGGAGCCTGGAGGCGAGTCGGCTGCAGACGTGTTGATGAGTGGCAGTGGTGCTGGCAAGTCACCTGCCGTAGACTTTCCTCCAGGTTTCCTGGCAGTGAAAGAGCGCGCCGAGGGGGGTGCTGGCAGTGGGGAGGACGGCAAAGCTTCACAGGGAGTGCAGCAGAGGGGAAGGACCCAGGGGATGCAAGGACTGCATGGGGAGCACGGGGAGCATGGAGAGCAGAGAGAGAAAGGAGAGCAAGGGGAGCAAGGGGTGCATGAGGGGAGCAGTGGCATGGAAAAGCAGATGGATCAGGTTACCTGCATGGGGATGTTTATCGCGTCTGCTCTCTCCTTGCATGCTCTGCAAACACCCAGGTAGCTATTGAGTCACTCATTTTTTAATTTAATGTTTATGGCATGCAAACACATGCGTGATGCAAACGCCTTTGCTTGATGCTGTTTATCATTTAACATCAGCATGAAGAGATTTTGATTCTGGTTGTGGTAATGCTTGTGTGCTTACTACCCAGCATGACCGCTTCCGACCTCTTCTTTTTTTACCCTAACTCTCTCCACGCTTCTTCCCTGTGCAAATCATGTGATACGCAGCTTCTTCCACTTGTGTCTTCACCAATACCGCCTCCCATCGCCGCCCCTCGCCCTGCCACCCTCTGCTGTCGCTTCATTCCCTGCCAATGCACTGGAAGCAGCACCCCCAGCTGCTGTGGCTGCTGTTACTGCAGATGCTGCCGCTGTGGCTGCCACGACCACCACAACTGCTGCCACCAACAGCAGCGCTGTGGGTGTGATGGTAGTGCAGCCAGCAGAGTCTCAGCAGCAACTGCAACAGCAGCAGCAACAGGAGCAGCAGCAGGAGCAACAGCAGCACCAGCAGCAGCAGGAGCAACAACAGCAACAGCAACAGCAGCAGGAGCAGCAGCAGCAGCAGCCGCAACAACAACAGCAGGAGCAGCAGCAGCAACAACAGCAGGAGCAACAGCAACCACAGCAGCAGCCACAAGCGAGTCTCGACGCTTCTGTGCTGCTTCCATCCCCACGCACCCCACCTCCCTCTGCTGCTGTGCCTGCCTGTGTCTCCACCTCAGTTCTCCCCCCTCCCTCTGACGCTGGTACAGTGCCAAGTGAAACAGTGCAAGGACCCAAGGGAGCATCTGCAGCTGTCTTCGCAGGAGACACTCTGGCTGCCCTGCTCTCACTCGTGCAGGCAAGCCACCTCCTCCCCTCGCACATGCTCGCATCCCACTGCTCTACTTTCCCTTCTCAATGTTTCCCCTCTTTCCTTGAGTTTATCATCTGAAGTTTTTAGGTTCTTGATGTATGCTTTTCCCGCTTGCTGCTCACCTATTCATCCCCACCCCACCCACCCCACCCACCCCACCCAACCCCCACCCACGTCCCTCCAGACATGCCCCGCGGCAGCACTGCGTGTGGCAGCTCTCTCCTCCCTCTCCTGTATCTCCTCCTCCCCCGCCTCCCGCACCCTCCTCTGCTTGCACCTCTCCCACTCCTTGCTCCTTCCCACTCCTGTCTCCTCCGCGCCCACTGCCCTGGCGCCACAAGCAGGGAGAGGGGAAGGAGCAGAAGAGGAAGGGGACAAGGGGAGGGTACGGGGGGATGGGACGCCTGGGTCAACAGTGTCAGAGGGAGGAGGGTCGGAGAGGTGGGGTGGGCTGCTGCAAAGCAGCGCGTGGGGGGTGGTGGGGCAGGTGGAGAGGTGGCTAAAGGTGAAGGCAGGTGGATGGGGAGATGATGAGAAGGAGGGGGTGGAGGAGGAAGAAGAGGAGGGAGAAGAAGATGAGGAAGAAGAGGAGGAGGGGGGGGAAGAGGTGGAAGATGGGGATGGGGATGGGGATGGGGATGGGGATGGGGATGGGGATGGGGATGGGGATGGGGATAGTGGTGAAGGGCAAGAGGGATGTGGGGTGCATGGGAAGGTGCAGCAGGAGAGGGGGAGAACGAAGAGCCGGTGGCGGCATGATGATGGGATGGGAAGAGGTGGAGGGTTGGGCCTCGAGGCTAGAGGGGAAGTGGGAGGGAGGGAAGGGAGGATCGCAGCGGTGGTTGCGTCGTCAGCGGAGCAGCGGAGTGCAGCACTTGTGGAGGCCTTCTGCCTTGCCGTGCTGCGCCTTGCTGACTCTGGACAAAGGTGTGTTGAATGTGGTGAAGGGGACCCAAGTTCTGTTGACTTGACTAAGGCTACGGCACGGGCATACTCTGCAGCGCACGCCAGTGTGAATCAATTCACGCACTCTGGCTCCTCTCCCCCATTCTTATCGTGAGCGCAATTTCTTTGCTTGCAACGGAGGCAATGTTATCCGCTGTCTTTGGCAATCTAGGCAGTGCTAACACCATGCACGTGCCACTGTCTTCCCATCCAACCACCAGCTCAATGGGACTTCTGCTCTTTAAGCTCCTTCTCGGTCTGCCTTCTACTCATCGCACCACCACCACAACTGAAGCTACCACTGCGTCTGCTTCTGCTGCGGCGGCGGCTGCTGGTGGTCTGCCTTATGATCCCATCACTACTCTCGCACGTCTCGCTCGCTCGCGGGCACGCAAGTTTGCATGTTGGAAGCAGGTCTGTGTCTCGTTGCCGAATCCTACTTCCCTCAGTTACTCCACATTCCACCGCTATCCAGCATTGGCCTTAGCCACTATATCTCATCACCCACCCACCATTCCTTCTCCTACCTCACGCTTCGTGTCAATTGTTGAGACGTATGTTTTTTGAGAATTCTCAAAAAACATACACTCCGTGTGTGTGCCTTGAGACCTTATCATCTGTTCATCATTCTTCACCCAGCTCTATTGTCAACTGCCCTGCCGTGTCTCAGACTTAGCTCACCATCTCATTGTCCTGCTTCTTGCTTCTTTTCCTCCCTCCCCTCTCTTCCTCCCTCAACCCCACAGGCACAGCGGCTCTCACAAGCTCTCCTTCTCCTAACCACCTCGTCACGTCACTATCACCTCCCTGCTCCCTTCCCTCTCCTCGCCTCCCTCCACTCCCTCCTCCCCACCCTCACCACCCCCTCCTCTCCCCTCCACCGCACCTCTCCGTCTCTCCTCACCGATCTCCTATCAGACCTCCACTCCCGCATCATTGCCCCTATTGAATCCTCCCTCTGCTCCTATTCCTCCTCCTCCTCCCCCTCCCCCTCCTCCTCATCCTGCGCCTCTCTCCTCCCCTGGGACCGGCCCGAGCCCGGTTCTCTCTCCTCTGCAGCGCA